CTATGCTGCTTTCCTGGTCGGAGTGACTAAATTGCGGAAAAGGGCCCGTAAAGCGGCAATGGGGGTGTGCCAAGAATTTTTGGAAATATTGAGTGTGGAGTTCCAGGTGGGAACTGGAATCTCCCACGCGGTTCCGGTTATGGTGGGGCGAGCAATGGCGGGAAACAAATAGGCCAGGGTGCAACAACTATGTAATCCAAAAAGTATCTTCGAACTTCGTCGCGTGCGCAGCGACGCCTTTTTCCTGGTCAAAAAGGCGCTGGCGTGTATGCTAGATCTCGGCTATGGATGAAGGTCTGACGACGCATCTCGCAGAGTTCGAAGTCGGAGTCGGAAGGGCGCAGCCGGGCTTCCCTTTCCATGACTTCCGCTTCTTCACATGGTGTATAGTCAAATCCCCGTTCCCTTAGCTGTTCCTTATGGCAACAGTCAGAACACAAAGTGTGAGGCTAGTACGGAGCACAGTCGGCCATGGAATCACAATTAACTCGTTAAAGGGAAGCAAAATAGAGAAGGGAGGAAAGATGGTGTCAATAATCACAAACCCAGATTAACAAAGCCAAAACACTGCGTCTCAAAAGAAAATTGGTACGGGGGGCCAATTTGAGCTACGGCTTCGCACACGTCCCACTCGCATACACGTGTCCTATCCTCGTGGTATGGGAAGGGGCGTGATTAGGGATGATCACGAAGTCGTGGCCCAGAATATCCGTTGGTCTTAGTCCACATGGTCATTTGCCGACAACTTCACATGCATTCACCATTCACAAAACAGATTGGTCCATGGTATGTTCGAAGCTAGCATGAGGGGACATGTCATCAGCTTCCCGTGGGATCGTCATGTAAGCGGAAGCATGTAAAGAGAAGAGGGCACGCAGGCAACCAAGCGATTAACCTACAGGTGATTTTAAACCGACCATAAACCGAGCGACTTCCATCCATCCATTTGCTAATCATCGACACTACTCATTCATCCACACAATCATAAAAAAGGTTGAAGGCGAGCGGCTAAAACATTTCAGCGTGTACGAGGAAAAAAGGAGATTCTCACATTCATTCTCGAGAAGCTCACACATTTATCAACACGGAAAGACTTTTGGATCACACAGTCCTGCATGCATCCACGCTTTCAAAAGACCTGCGCCCTGCGCGATTCTTACTGAAAGCGAGAAGTCATAGCGGAAATGCACACATACACACACAGACCATCCTTAGAAAGATACTCGAACAATCATACACACTCATCCATAAAGTTGTCATTTGAAAAGGCGAGAGAGATAAGAGGAAAGAAACATACAAGCACATGATTGACACGAGAAGAGAGGTGTCTTGCCATGCAAGCTTTACTCAAAAAGAGGTGGATAGAAAAAGACACGAAATCCTCTGCTCTCTGAACTATGCCCTCTGGCCAGCCAACCAATCAACTGCTACCTCTCACCCTGCTCAAGTACTGACGATCCCCAGTCGCCACGTACTCAATGCAAACCCCAGCGATCGTCACCCTGTGGAGTCAACTCCTACGCTGATCCGCCCAGATCCTGCAGTCCATTGCAGCGATCCGGCGCACGATCACGCAAAACTGCCGCAGACTCATCAGGACTTTCCGACTCGCTGATCACCACCGCTATCTAGCCAGTACTCCAACAGAGTTGGCAGATGCATTGCGAGAGAGCAAAAGAGACATGTTCATGGGATTGATAGTTGCGAGGAGAGGGGAAGGGAGGGTGATGATTGGGGGAAGGTCGGGATGGGAAGAGGAGGGAAGTAGACGGAGTAGACGGCAGGAAGGCCGTGTTGATCCGATAGAGGTGATCGTAGCCAATCGAATCACATAGTGGAGAGATCAAAGCCTCTCTACAAGCTGCCGTCTGACTTCTACAGTCACCTGCGAATTCACAAAATCCTTCGAAATCTTGGGCGAAGGCGGGGAAGGGGGTTACGACGCTTACGAGAGATGGTGTAAGGTGGGGCCAAGAGTCAACGAGGTCAAGAAGAAGGAGGCATGGAAAGAGGGAGAAGAAGACAGTTACAGATTGCCGTTGATGGTGGGAAGAGGGAGTGTGAGGGAAACTAAAGAAGCTTGCATGCAAAGGCGAGGGCGCAGAAGACGCATGCACGAAAATCGTAAAGGCACCAAAACAGTTACGCAAAATGCCAGTGAAAGATGCACCTAATTCCCACGACCAATTCAAAATTGAGAAGTCCGAAAAGAGTTTCCACGCGCGCTCGCTAAGGCGTGCAGATTTCTATGCCGATTGTTTTTTTATTATTCATCAACAAAGATTCATGTGACTCGTGGAGACATTCCAGAAAATTACAGACAGAAAGAAAAGGACTCGATGCAAAGTATCCTGATCCATCATTTTTTAAATTGAAAAGTTTGAAAAAGAAATTATGGACGCGCTCGCTAGGGCGTGCAAAAAAATCCTATGTCGCTTCCTATCCTTTCTACTGAGAAAAAGGAGTTCACAAAAGTTGCGGGGGTAACTTTGCAAAAAGAAATACGAACTCGAAGAATGGATTAGCCGATGCAAACCACCCGTAGTAGATATTCCACCAAAGACAAGCCCATCGAATTGTGTTGAAATCCGAAATCATAGCAAAAACATAGTATACAACCCCCTTAGACAAAATAAAAAAATAAAAATGAAAGGGGTACGGAAACCAGCACAAAAACGTGAGCTTGCGCGTCACTGCCCCCCCCGCCCCCCAAGGCAAAGCATGGTTCGAGCTGATCAGGAAAGTGCCCCTCTGGGTGATTTGGAGATGGTGTAAATGACTATGGATAAACAACAGGTGGACAAAGAAGAAGCTGTTTGTAAGAGTTTGTAAGAACTCATGGACACAGACAAATCAGAGGTCTAGAGAAGGACAACCCAACATTTTTGGCAAAAAGAGAGACGCCTTCCGTACAAACTGGCTTCTGGATGGAAGGATTGCGAGAGTCGTCGATGCCAACAACAGGCCAGAATTGACTAACCCAACTCAGGAAGAGGTCAGGTCATGAGTTAAAGACTTGACAGAGAGGTACAGGGCAACACACAAGGCTACAAGAAGCAGCTGCCTGTAAAGGCTGTACGGACTCATGGAGACAGACAAATCAGAGGGCTAGAGAAGGACAAACACAACATCTTTGGCAAAAAGAATGACACCTTCTGCATTTTTTAAGTGGCTTGCAGAAAGAAGGATTGCAAGAGTCGTCAATACCAACAACAGGCTGACAGGACCTCGGAGTTTGGGAACAGGTCAGGTCATGAGGTGACGAGTTAAAGACTTGACAGAGGGGGTGGAGGGCAACACACAACACTGGTTAGGGTACAAGTCAAATGCTCCCCAAAGCCAAAGGATGTGGTCCCACGTGGAGAGTCATGATGGGCTCGAGCTCTAGGTTTGATGCGGCAGCCTACATAGGCGTAGACTGAGAGGACAGCTAGAAGAAAACAAGGCTCACCTGACAGTCAAATCCTCCCGTCCGTGCAATCAATGGTGATCAGGGATTCCTTCAGCCGGAACTGAAGGAGGCGTAAGCGTCTCTTGGTTGTAATATTTGAGAGTTGCCTGTGGAAAAGGAACCGCGCTGACGCTCCCCGCAATACAAACTAGTCAGAGGCCCAGAGCCATTAGACACTGTGAAGAAAGAAGAAAAGGAGGTGGTGCATTACAGTATTACTGAGGCTTAGTTGGGGGTCAGTCACTGTGGTAAAGCAAAAGGTGCAGTATAAGGGTTAGTCAGGAGTCAGTCAGTGACTGTGGTAAAGCACAAGCTGGGAGAACTACTGTCCTCCGCTCCCTAAAGTATTGCGGACAGGCAGGGACGGTTGGGTCCTTGTGGTAAAAGCACGTGCTGGAGGACAAGGGCGAAGTATTCTACACACCAAGGCTTTATGATCGTGAGAGCACATCCTTCTCCTCTTACTATCATAATAAAGCCATACATGCGGGGATGATAGTAAGAGGAGAAGGATGAAGAAACAGAACTTATGGTCAATTGGGGGGAGCATCACATTCCAGTGGCAGGTTTTTGTCAACAACTGCGGCTGGGAGCCGTCTCAATAACACCTGGAGATAGCGCAGTGACCAAGATTGAAGGGCAGACCCCACTGGTGTTATGTTCATGCTGCTTGGAAAGCATGGGCGTAGCCGTAATACCGGCCAGGTTCGTACTGTCCTACCGTCGTCCCCCGAATAGAACGTACAGTCATTACGGCCGTATTTGGCTCACATTTCAGTCAAGATACAACGAAAATGACCATACGTTGTACCTCACGGTCCAGTGTCCAGTGCTATAAAGCAATGCACAGGAGGTAGGTGCCAATGCCCGACTCCTTGTCACTCATTGCCTGGCTAGCTTTGGTCCTTGAGGGATACTAATGTACGTCAACTGTCTCGGGTACACCCACAAACTGCCAGAAAACAAACCTGAGTTCGAACGCAGATGGAACTAGATGAAGGAAATTCCTGAATTGCCAGAGGTCAGTCAGTTTCACGATGATATCTCAAGGCTGTCCCCCCTTTTTTTCGAAAAAAAGAGGACGACAACTCTGGACAGGGTAAATGTGCAGAAGGCTGAGCAAGGCAACAAGAAGTGTGTTTGGCACTTAGCACCACAGATTGCTTCTGTATTATCTATGCCAGTAGTTCCTCTGGGCAAGCGCAGAAAACTCCCACCCAAAGGGAAAAAAAGGTGAAAAAAAAGGGCTGATTTTGCCTGCATGGAGTGCCTCGTGCAGGTGATCCCCAGGCAATTTGCCTGGGCTGCACAGCTGTGATGCACGGCCGGGGGAGCCAAGTAGCCTATATTTTTTTTCTGTTTTTTTTTTTCTTTCTTTTTTAAACCTTTTTCCAAGTTTTTAGAAGTTCCCCCCCCCCCCTTATATGGACCATTTCTCGATTTATAAATTGGAATGATACAGAGAAGACTTGTGTCATGTGTTATTCCTTATTCAGTAATTGTCCATGCAAGCTTTCTCAGACGTGTGCGTGGTCGCTCTCTGATGCAGCCTGTAGGGCCTGGCATTCGTGAGACATATGTTCGCCGAATTCGTCTTCACATCAAGAACTTGGCTTCCCAGAAGGATGACAAGTTCAGCCAGATTGCAAACAGTGGGCAGAACAACAATACGGCAAAAGCCGTAGAAACAGCAGTGGACGAGAAGGGACGAAAAGGCAGCATATCTTCCTTAGCGTCTACCAAACTCATCAAGAACATACTGAGCACTGCCAATCTTTCTCGAAGTTTCAGCACTGGCTCAGCTCTAGAGACGGATGGAATGGGCCAAGAGCGGCGGTCGAAAGCGCTGAATGCTCTCAGAGAGGATGCCGAAGCAGGGCTCGCTGAGATTGAGAGAAGGCAGAAGAGGATTGGGGAAGCTTCCTTACCGAGAATCCCTCCCGCTCTGACGGCGATGAAGTCCGGAAGTCCGAAATTGGCTGAGCTGATGGGATCCCATTCGTCCCCAAGACCCTCCACAGCACCGGCCGTGGACAGCAAAGTTGCTCCTTTCGACTCGGAAGCCACTGCGGCCGACGCTCTTTCTTCGGACTTGGAGAGTCCTGCGTCGCCATCGGATCCAGCGGGACCTTTCACAACGGATAGTCCTGAATCGTCACCCCGGTCACTTACGCCAAGTGGTCGCCGGGACCGGGCCCATGGAGGAGTTTTGACCTCAGCTCGTGATCCCCTTATGAAGAACGATTTCTGCCTCAGATCCCCCCTTGCTTTCCTCCTGCGGGCACCATCGATGCTCTCCTCCAAGGTCTTGAAAATGACTGGTCCTTTGCGCATTCCCATTGGCGATCGCACGGGCTACCCCCTTCGAACCCAGACACCAATCGTACGGAAATGGAGCAAGCTCTTAAATCCTCCCAACTCTGCAGACGCCGCAAAGCTGGTACCGGGGGGAGCACCTGCACCAAGGCTGGATTCATGGCTCCGATCCCACTTCCAAAGAGACAGCAGGAAGATCGGAGCTCCAAGCAGAGCATGGACACCTCGGGAAAGAGTAACAGTGCAGATGATGAGATCGCCAAGGCATGGCATGGTGCCAGTTGGGTCATTGAATGCGTGGAACATTGCCGCGCAAACGCCATATGGCACCACTGCACCAGGCACTCCAAGACTGCATAGATACACACCACATACCCTCCGCACTCCTCGGGTATACACCCCACACACTGCTGGAACTCCAGGAGGGAATAGCTTGTCCAAGGGTAGTGCGACCAACAAAAGGACCCGTGACTCTCCCTCTGGTGCAATGCCAGATGCAGGTGTCGACGAGAGTGACGTCGTTGCATCCCAACTGAGAAGGAAACTCCAAACCACAAAGAGGTGGCTTGGCATCCAGGCATCTCAACATTGAGACCCCTCGCTGATCACAAAGTCCCTCCTCCCCATCATCAACCTCATTCACACAGACATGCGCACACACACACATGAGGAACATTGCACACCTTGATGTTTTGCCTTCTTCTCATTGGTGGAGAAGGTTATTCGGTTGGTGCTTCTTTGCAAGACACACACACACACACTCAGACGTGGGGAACCTACACGATAATTTTGCTGTATTTGCGGTTTGCATTCATAGCAATGTTTGGTGATTGCCTGACAACGTGCACACCCCCACTGCTTGATGTTTTGCATTCTTGTCATTGGCGAAGAAAGATTATTTGGTTGGTGTTTCTTTGCAAGACATACTCACACATAGACTTGGGAGCCTTATACTCTTTACGTTTGCTGTGTTTGCAGTTTGGATTGGTAGCGACGTTCGGTGATCGGCTGGCAATGCACACACACACACACACACACACACACACACACACACACACACACACACACATTGCTAACTCTGGGCGATGTGGTGAGTCCTTATTCATCAGTCAAATGAATCCTGTCGGGGTTCAACCCCCTGATGAGTGGGTGAAACAGTCTGGCATAGTCATGCTTTTTTTTAGTGTATAGCGAAAATGACAACACACACACACACACACACACACACACACACACTTTCTTCCCGCCTTCTCCCCTGCCTCCCTTGTCCTCCCCCCTTTGTTCCCCATGCAGAACTGCTAAAAGCATACAAATGAGCATCACTAAGAGGACAGACAAAATATGAGGTGCAATTTTACTGAAACACGAACGCATCCCATGCTCGAGTACACAAACATGCTAAAACCTTCGCCACTCAAAATACAACACTAAACCATTTTGGAATTTTTGGCAAAAAATCAAAATCCTTCCCTCAAAGGAAAGAATGAGTCTCGTGTGACAGTCCCACGCAAGACGTCGTTGCCCATGTTGGGACAGTCGCGGGGTAAAGTGGGCGGGCACAACAAGGTGTCTGGTGGTCTTTTGCTTTGCCAGGGCCGATGCTCGATTGCCCCTGTTTGATTTGTTGCAGGGCTGTGGGGGATGTTTGAATGCAAGTACATAGCAAGCTGCGGTCTTTTTCTTTGCTGAGGCCGCTGGTCGATTGCTCGTGCCGCTATGGGCCTCACTCCACCACTCACCACAACACCGTTTTGGTGAGTGGCCTCATCGCTCCACCACTCCCCACAGCGCGAATGGCAGAAGAATTTTGTTCTGCTGTGGTGAACACTCACCACAGCGTTGGTTTTCCCCCCCTGCAACAGCGGGGTTGTGGTGGGACCTCTCGGGTTATGGTGGGACCTCTCGGGTTGTGGTGGGACCTCTCAGGTTGTGGTGGGACCTCTCGGGTTCTCGCCAAAAGTGCCGTGAGTGAACCAGTGCAGTGAGTGGTGGAGCGATACAGCGTTTTGGTGAGGAAAGTCCCATGGTGAGTAATCACCAGAGTCACCACGGGAAATCCAGTTTATTGAGTGGTGGAGCGAGGCCCTATATTAGAGCTTCATTTTGTTATTTATGGGATTACTGGTGTCGCTTTGTTGGAGCTTCGTTTTGCTGTTTGCCGGGCTGGGGGCAAGTACATAGCAAGCCGCTCTGGATGCAAAGAAGACACGTCCAAAAAAAAAAAAAAAAAAAAAAAAAAAAAAAAAAAAAAAGAAAGAAAGAAAGAAAGATACATGACAGTTACCAACTAGGTCATGACTTCGGATCCCCACCTAGGTCACGCCAAAAGCACAAAAAGGATCTTACACTTGTTTTTTTTTTCCCTCTTTAATCTTTATAGGATTCGAGCTCAGGTCTGCCTATTAACAGTTAGCCAGGTGGGGCCTCACCACACTACTCACAGAAGGAATAATTGTGAGTGCATCTTCAGCCAGAAGGTGGGCAAATACGCACACTACTATTTTGGTAACACATGTATCCCTGCTTGCTTCTGTAGAAAGTCTCACACACAGTTTTTTAACTTTTTTTCCTTTTGTGAGTAGTGTGGTGAGGCCTATGCGCTTGGCCTTCTTTTGCACCATTCTAAATCTATGAGTGTCATCCTTGCGCAGGGGCCATGCTAATGCAAGGAAGATGAGCAATAGCGAACTCCAGCAATCAAACAGCATCAGATAGTCGTGACCTCGAACCAACAGCAGAATTGCATCACGAGATTCACCAAATAAGAACACACCAAGATTTCATAATTGACAATGCTGAAATAGTCCCATCATCATCAACGAAAAACCAGAGTTGATATCCTATCTGGCGCTCGGCGCCCAGACTACATGTGGCAGATCCTATCTAGCCTACACTACGATACCGAAAGATGACGTCAACGGCATTTCCGAAGTACGAGCATATGGCGACCAATGTCGCACGCTTCCAAAACCAGGGATGTCTCTCGCCACACTCACAACCTCATTCCCCAACACACAGATGCCACTAGCACCCAAGGACCACCCTGCGCCTCACCCAGCCTACAGCAGCGCAGCTCGGCTATGACTGCGTGCTCCTTCCCTGCTCGCCCGTGAGAGCGTAGGCGCCAGCCAGCAAATAGCGCAGCAGTGCTTGCGCAGCATGCAGCCAGCACCCGAATGTCGAATACGGAAGCAGGCCCTCTGCTATATCGAAGTGGCCTGCCTGCGTGCAGTCCCAGGAAGCTTCCAGTAGGCCCCGATAGCCTGAGGCCCAGCACGACGAACACAGGCCTTGGGCCTGAGGTGGTTGCATGTGCCCAACTGCCTTTGGCCTGTGTTTGGCCCAGTACCCGTATCCAGCCCAGGGCCTGCTTCACATACATTCACACAGACGGCCTGAGGTGGTTGCATGTGCCCAACTGCCTTTGGCCTGTGTTTGGCCCAGTACCCGTATCCAGCCCAGGGCCTGCTTCACAAACATTCACACAGGCGGCCCAGGGCCTGGGTTCACTCAACCAACTGGCTGAATTTCCCTAAGTTGCATGGTGGCCAGAATAGGGCCCTGAGGGCCTCGTCGAGCCTACCTTCACTTAGGGCAGCCGACGGGCTGCAAAATGGGGCCTTACGGGGCTCATAGAGGCAGCGGCCTCGCATTCCCTCCTCCTTAGCTTCAACAGTCCTCTGAGAAGCTCAGTCTTCAATCATGGGGCGCTTTCCCTTCTGCAGAGATTTCTCATAATGGGCCACAACTTGAGGAGCGGTCTGCATGAGTTTCTTCCCTCGTGAACCAACGGTCCTCCTTGGGATCAGTATGATGTCTGAACCGAACGCAGTGTCGGGCGCATCGGTCCGGCACCGCATGTGGCAGCGCGGGACCCTCTCGGCCGCGTCACGCAGGAGTTGGACCAACCTCGTTACGAACACGCAAAAGGAGCAACGCACACAACCAACAACGCGGCAGCACTCCTAGTCCCTTCAGTAGCCATCCCATAACTTTTCGATGCGGAAATCGAATAGGCGTCGCGCGCGAAACTTAGTATAACACATCGCCGACGCAGGGCTAACTCATATCGACTCGCAATGCAATCGCACGCAAGCGGACGCAATGATGGCGTACTATGTGGTACCCATACTCACGCGGTCCTCGTTAATCTCGAGGGTCGCGTTCGACGCTCAAGTGTCGGCTGACACGCGCCTTGAGGGTTAATCTCTCGACGCTGGACAACTGCTATGCGCGGTTGAGAATCACACACCCTCT